TGAAGTTGTATCTGCTTTTTTGCAAACTCGAGATTTTTCCTTAAACTTTCAAGACAGCTAAATTAGTTTGTATTAGGTATATTGTATAATAACAAATGTTTATTGCTGTATGGACCCCCTTGATTCTCTTTTCAGCTATTTCCACATTCTAGGTCTTCCCATCCCATAACAGATCCTAAAATTCTAGCACCCTCTCTTTGCCATCTACTGGCCTGCTTCCTGATACAATTGGTCCAAACCCATAAAAGCAACATTCGTTATCCTCCTAGCTCATCAGGCATGGTGCAAGTGCCTTTTTGCTGTTCAAAGGCCTCTTGGACTAGATAAGGGAGCAATCCCTGAGGATCTGATCTTGCTCTTTGTAAATGTGCATGTGTTCTCATTATATTGTACTTTTATTACTCCAGGCCTTATAAGACCTTCAGTCTTTCTATATTCTTTTGACACTGCTTAATACTTTTCATGCCATTTGCTTGGACACACAATCATACACTAAGCTTAAGATTTAGGTCCATTTGCTTGCTCTTAAACCTTTTCTTCTTCCCAAATAGATACCAAATCCCCATATTAAGGGAGGTAGTAGCAAGTGCATCAGATTCCCCTGAGGCTTGACTGGTGACATGACCACTTGGGAAATGGAACAGAAAAATGGACATTACTGGGGAAATATTGCACACAAACTCACAGCAGCTGGTGCTTAGGAGTAAAATTTCTGACTTCTGATGCATTTGGTATGAGTAACACAGCATGCAGAAACCAGACCAGAAAAGCTTCCTCAGCACTGTGGGATCTTAGTGGGAATTGTTTATACTGCTGGGAAGTTTAAAGCCAGTAGTATCTCACCATTCAGGCATCTCACCAGGATAACGCTAGGGTAGAAGACAGTGGTGGGTAGTCTTCTGATTATGACCCTTGACAGGTTATATAAAAATAGATTCAAATTTTTGCTGTATTAAGATTTCCTTGGCAAGTTATGTAAATTCTGTTTCTCTTCCCTGTTTGTAAGACCAGGATAACAACACAGACATCAGTGCTTCAGAGCAAGGTAAGATGTTACTCCCCTGCAGGTCAGACCAAGGGTTCACGTAGCTCAGTAGCTTTGGGAGCAGATGCTATAGAGGGGCAGCTTACAGCAGCACAGTGTTAGCACCACTAGGTTTAGAAACACGATTCTCAAGACGAGCCCAGATCTCGAAGAAGAACCCACAAGCCCGGCCTTGCCGAGTTGTTTTTGCAGTAGGAAAGTTGTTTCCATTTTTCCGTAGGCCGAAAAGAGTGAGAAGTAAGAGCTGGCGGTTTTCCAGGTAGACTTCGAGTCCATCGGGGGAAGGGGGCTGACCCTCCCTGGCAGCCCGCAGGGGCCCCACTGCTTGGGGGCAGGCCCGCCCCGGGGTGCGAGGCTAGGAAGAGCTCCCGCAGTCCAGGCCTGAGCGGGGATTTTCTGACCGGCTCCTCGGCCGCGCAGGCGGCTCCGGCGGCCTCCACACAAAGGCCGGCGCGGCCTGAAGCGCGCGGCTGTAACCGCCTCATTGAAATGTACACAGCCCCCCCGCCCCCGCGAACAGGCCGGGGGGAGCGCGGCGCCACTCCCGGACGGCGGCTGCTGCCCGGGCCCCGGAGGTACGGCGGGAAGCCCCCGCGCCCATTGACGGACAGGGGGAGCGGCCGGGCAGGCCCCGCCCTCGGCACGGCGGCG